GAAGTCATAAAGAAGAAGCAGGCGAACTTGCTCCTTAGTAAGAGGGTAGGGCTGGTTCATGGCTGGAGAGCACCAGGGCTGTAATAATATACGGTTGTATGCCGAAGGACACGACCTACTAATAAACACACGCAGAACATTCTAGCATGCTCTGGAAAAAAGTTGTACTGGATATTCAAGAAATTCCGAGAACTTTCTTTCCAATCAGATAACAACATTCAATTGACAACTTTTTATTACTATCGGATCTGATCGACTGAAGCCTGATCGACTCGGATCTGATGATAATGTTGCGTGAGTCGATTGACTATCTATAGACCTGAGAATGATGTTACATCTTTCATCTTACTTCGATGAGACTGGACCGTCTGATCCTTGAGTGCAAGCGAGCCCGACAAGGAGCCTCAGCACGCTAATATCAGTCAAAAGAGAGTGCTTATCGTAGATGGCTTTGCAGCAGACTGGTGAAAATGACAATATCTCGTACTTGGAAAACCTGAATTACTTGAAGAAAAGCGTTTACGTTTGCATGGATGAGAAAATCGTGCCAAATTGTGCCATTCTGATGATGATCTTGAGCCTTGAGTGATCCTCTGCACTCCTCAAGATTTCCTGCCTGGGGCTTAATTTCTCGGAGATGAACTATTGAACCCTTCTTTTTCTGAGGAAACAAGTTCCATTAGTTCCACAATTGAAAAATTGAGAAACACGTCTGTTGAAGATGAACTTTGGATACCAATGAGGATGCACTGAAGTATCGTGTCGACTTGTCTGTCGATAGTCTTGAAGCCTACAAACCGTCCCAATCAATGAATGAATATTCTGATTATCATCGGCGGTTTCAATCTTGGTAAGCAAAGGTATGAAACTAATCATGCGCTGCTTGAGAGATAAAGCAGGCCTCTGTCAGCCCCAAACCCTTGTCAACCATGTCAACCTTGTAGGTTATTAAAAAGCAACGCAGCTACAATCGCAGCAGAAACCAATATTTGTTTTCTAAAAAATAATAATAAATAAATAAACCAGCTGCATTTTGGCGTAGTTCTGTCGTCTAAGTCAGCCCTAGTCATTGTCATTCATTTGATTCACCATTGGTCATCTTGAACCCAAACTCCTCGAATTCGAAATGTCTCTTTTTCGGTAATGGCATCGATTAATACGAATGTCTCCTCTGGGTCGTCGTCATCCATCAACAACGGTTACGATGGCTACGCTCGGTGTTTGACAAGCATAAAGTTGCGATGCGAACATTTCTTGCGACGAACATCAAAATTTAATGTATTTTTCTTTAGAAGGGGCGTGGCTCTCGCCATTGCGTAAATAGAAGCGACGCAAGAAGTAAGCTTAATACCCGTTATAAAAACCAACCCAGATCTCCGCATCCGTTTGCCCTTTTTAGAAGTCTGGCGAGACTTTTCAGGTATTTCTTGGAACAGTATTATTTACATAGGCATAAGAATAAACTGGCTGAGATTGAGCTGATGTGGAACAATATGAAGAAGACGAAGACGGTGATGGATGAAGACAGGGAGGAAATGCATATGCTATTTATTTTTTACTTTTTTTTCTCTATGTCGAAAAAGGGATGGTCGAGGGG